GTCTCTGCTTTCCTTAAAGATAATTACTTACTAGCAGGAAAAAATAAATCCAGGTATTTACTGAGCACTGTTCTTCTGAAAGCACATCCTATGTTTTGTTATTATATAAACAACCTTGGAACATGTTCTGCCTCTGAACCACTTGTTCACTGAATCACCTTTCCCTGTGTGTGGTAGATGGTTCTGCTCACACAGGTTCAGCCAACCCCTGGCAGGAGGAGAATGAGGAGAGCTGAATGATGGTGATTTCTAGATGGAAAAGGGTGGAAAAGCCAAGGTGGCTGCCTTTCAACAAAGCACAGAAATACACAAAACAGTTACACCAATTATAAATAAATGTAAATGTGTGTTTAGTTGGGGTTTCTGGCTTTCTAGTTAGCTGTGAAGGGATCATTTGCAGGAGCACATGCATTATGTGAGCCTGGCTGGGGCACCACAAGACATGGGAAGTAACCATTCCCAAATGCAGCTGTTATTGTGCATTGGAAAGCCAAGGAATGGGACTCTGGGTGTAAGTATTGCTTAGATAAAAGGTCACCTTAAGGGATTCTGAGCATTTCTTGAATGAGAGTGTATTGAATTGCCAAAATTAATCATAGGTATTATTCATTTATATAACTAATGGATACAGTAACCATCTTCTTGTGCCAACTTCAAAATAAAGTTAGCAGAAGTAAAAAAAGATCCTATCATTACAGTTAGGTACAGTGCCATGGTTTACAGAAAAATTCAACTATCAATGCTGATGTTGATGAAGGAAGTCTTTATGCTGGGATGGAAACTGAATTATAGCAGGCAAATGTTCAAGTCAGGGTAATTTGAATTATAACAAATGGCAGCACAATTATGTGTCATTATTTCACAGCAAGAAGAGATCAAATACTTCATGAGTATTGTGTTCTGCTCTAGAAGTGTGCATGTGGAAGTAGAAGGAGCTGTACATTAACCAAATGGTTGGACAGAATATTAGAATTAATGCTTTTCATTTCTTGAAATTTCATTTCAGATCTAATCTTGATGGGAAAGGATTATTCAGTTTGTAACCTGACAACTTTGCTTTAACAGTATCTTCAGGATTTTCAGTGTTGAAGGGTACTATGGAGGGATTATCTTACTCTTTTCTCTCTCTCTCTTCTGTTAATAAGTAACTATTTAAGCATCCCAACTCAGCCATTTTATTAATGGAGGGAGATCAGAGTTTCTGTGATCAGTTTGGGAACAGTGGCAGGAATGTGTCTCTAATTATTTTTACTCTTCAACAACTGGAAACAAATATTTTACCCAGTTGACTGCAAAGTATGAGTTACTCAATTATGTGAAATGGTTTGATGAATTCTGAAGTTTAGTTAATAATGCCACTAAAGAGGTGTTTTATCTGATTTTATGTTGTATTGGCAAGTCAGAATTAGTTCTCAATTTTCTAATAAGGATATCCTAATGTAGTCTAGATGTTGTTTAATACCACCTTTCTGAGGAGGCTGCCTGCCTGAGTCCAGTTTACAACATTAATATTGGGGTTATAACCAGATATTAGATTATTATAATGACCAGCAAAGAATGAATAACACAAGAAGCTGGCAAAAGTCACTGTATTTATCTGCCTTTTCTTCCTGATGTGTGTTTAATACAACTCAAGCAGAACTAGAATTATGAATGTCTCCAGAGATGCATTTATATGTGAGACAGATCTGGAGACAGATATATGAAATACCTGGTCCTGTGCTTTGCTGCACTCCCAAGGTGGGCTTATTGCTTCTGATCTCTGGCTGATACAAAAGTATTTCCAATTGCAGACATGTTACACTGTTTTTATAGAAACTTCTCTAATTTTATCTGAAGAGGAGGCAATGGGATGGGAAATAAATTTCTTCATGTAAACGTTCACAACATCAGCTAAGACAATACTGCAGTTCCTTGTGCTGAGCATGGAAAGAGAAACCCACTAAATACAGTTTACATTTGGATACAGGGAGAGCAATAAATCAAAGGTATGAATAAATCAGCAGCTGATGAAAAGGACCGGTTATTTTAAGCTATTTTCTATAGATGCACCTCAGGCAGAACTTGACACCAAGACAAAATCAGTGAAACTGAATCGTTTGCCAAACAAACGCTGGGCAGATCAATCAGGAATGCTTGAAAGCTAAACAATGGCCTGGTGGGAAGGAGGAATTGATTGCCTCAGCAGGCTGCTGCTTTTCTTCAGAATGGGACAAGGAGAGAATGCAGAAAAGAACTTGAGCCTTTAATACACGGACATTCCACTGCTGAACAGGGAAAGGCCTGGCCAGCCTCTGTCTGCCTGCCAGGCTCAGCCTGCAAAATTAAACCGATTTAATTTTCAGTGGCTCAGAAGGCAAAAGAATAATGTTGTGTTCAAACCAAACAGGTGTAACTGGGAGGTTAAAGAGTCAGTGCTGACTGCAGGGACTTGGAGTGGCTGTTGTGGAAGAATTGCTGTAGCACAGCTGCTCCCTGGGTTAGATCTGTGTATTTTAAATTTGTGTTTTAGTCTGAGCGAAACAATCAGCAATAGGTGAACCCTAACTCAGCTCCCCAAACTAGCCTAGAGACTTTCTACTGAACGAGACAAATGAGAGGGTTTGCAAACACTGCATGTAGGTGTGGCTTATTCCTCCCTCCTAAACACAGGGTGGCAAAAATAGATTTGTCTCAATTTCATCTTTATGTGCATTTGCCAGAAATACTGACAGGGTCATTTTAAGGTCTTCATACCTCTACCCAAGAGTTCATGGCATCTCTGACCTGTCCAACTGTCTTGTCCTTTAGAAAGGTGTCTTTTTTAGTGCTAGAGACTTTATAGGTATCACTCGACCTCAAGGCTAAATTATTAAATCCAGTAACAGGAGACAAGAGATGGGAGATGAATCTTTTCCTCCTACTTGATTACCATGTGTTTTGGGGGTGGGTGGTCATTTTGGTAAGAAAGCTGGAGCTGAAACCAAAGTGAGATGGCTGGTTTCCTCATCAGGGTGTGGAAATGGGCTGAAAGATATGTACTTTTAAATTTATGACTCTTCTTTTAAACTTTTTTCCCCATAGAACATCTGGTCTGTGGAAGTTGAGGAATTCAATTTCAGTGTCAGTTTGCTTTTTCATGCTGGAGGCACGAAGAGCTGATTCCTCAGATATACGTTGCTTTCTGTAAAGCTACATAACATAATGATTCATCTCTAGTATTTGGATTGTCATTATAAAAATTAGCTAAGACATTTAAGACAAATTACCTGTAATTTAGTTATTAGATATATCTTGTTCTGGAGTAGCATCATTTAAATTAGCAGAATTACTTGCAGTGTCTGTCCTTCGTTCCCAGACTCTGGTGTTCATGGAATTATCCTGAATGATCTGGTTGCCTCAGCCATGCCTGTCAGGGCCCACTGACATTAATTCATCTCTCTTCATTTTAGAGGGATTCCTCCTGCCCCTTTTGCCCTTTCTCCTTTGGATGGCATTGCTCCCCATGGGCTGGCACTAATGTCGTTTTGAGGACATGCCAGCAGGAGGAGCTTGTGGATTAAAATGTGCTTTCAATAAAGCAATCACCAAATTACAGTAATTGCATATAACTCTGTGCTCTCTTCTGCAATGGAAACTACCATGTACCTGTAAATTTGTCTGTCTGCTCGTAAAGCTCATTAACCTATTTTGGATTGAGCAAAGCCCAATGAGGTGAAAATTTAATTTTATGTAATTTAATTTTGTTCCATTGTATATTTGAATGTTAGGTTATTTTATGTTTACATGTTCTGAAAAATACATATCTTAACACAAAATCACAACTCTCTGAAGCCAATATCCCATGCTCTGTTTTACAAGCATGAAGAGCATCAACACTGCATTGCTCAATTTTATAAATAGTATAAAAATTATGAGTAATAATATTCATGTTACTAAAAGAAATCCATGCTAATGAGCACAGCTGAAATTGGATTCACATGATCAGAATTCTCTACAGCAACTTAGATAACATTGCTGAGTTTCAAAATAAGAAATCTTGGGGCCACGGTTGGAAGTCCAATTATCCTTGGCTACTGAGAATTAATAGCATGTGCTAAATTAATTTTTAGACTTTTTATTTTAGTGACAAGAAAAATAAGGAATTAAAGATCTAAGTTGTTCATTTTGTTACTGAAGAAGAGAAGGATGTGTACCACAGGTATTTTATGCATTTTTTCACATAAAGGTTCTTAGTTACCTTGGAAGACTAAATACTGTAATAGCAACATGATGAACCTTGATGTAGGAAAATCATTTATTATTTTAGCTAAGACTCTTTTAGAGTTTTCTGCTTCAAAATTTAGACAAGTTAAATAACACACTTCCATTAAAACGACTTAATACTTTTTTTTTTCCTGTTAATCTTTAGCGTCTGAATTGAACCTCATTTTTCCACAGCGTTTTTTCCCTCTTATTTCTGTGGGAACAACCGGTGTGTGGGCACTGTAGTTACAAAGGTAATGGCTACCAGTGAGACAGCTGCCCTTTTGTGCCCTGCTACCTGCAAGTGAATTTTCCACTCGGTCCCAGGACTTGTTAAAGGCTTTTATTTTGGTCCCATCTCTCCCAAGTGGGTGCTCAAAAGGCCTCAGTAGAGCCTGAGTGTGCCTGTGCCCCTGGCAGGGCTGTGTGACCTGAGTGTCAGGAAGGTCACTGCAGGAAAAGGGGAACTGCACAGAGAAATTCAGAGATTGTTTTAAAATGTATCTCTATTTGGTTAATATGGCCAGAACTGCAGATGAGCAATTCCTCCCCTATGGACTTGTTCCCATGTTCTGAAGATAGGTATTATAAGGTTGGGGGTTTTAACTTGTAAAAAGAAGCTTGGCTTTGTGTGCTGTGTGATTTGATTGCCTAGCTGAGTTGCTAAATGCAAACCAGTTTTATTTATTGATCTGTATGTAAGCAGTTTAATTGAAAACCATGTGGAGACCTCTAAAAGAATGGCAAAAGTACAATGCTATCCCTTTATACTGTAGTTTTCCGAGGAGTCTATAGCCTGAATGTCACCTAGGTAAGCTGGAATTTTCTGTTACTGCTTGTTTTTGAACTTAATGTTCTCTGAGTCTTTTCCAAAAGGCTCATTCATGTCAGACTGTGGTCTGTTGTGGGTCAGAAGAGACTGAAGAATTCCCAACAGGGATGTATTACTAATGTACTTCATCGTGTAATGATACATCCATCCATAATTAGAGGATTGTTAATCGGGCACCATCCAAGCTCTTGTCTATTTTGCTTGTACTTTTATCACTTCAAAATGCTTTTCCCGCCATTTCTGAACCGCAGCTCATGGAGATACGCTTTTATCCTGTAATTTGCAATCTTCCATGAAGTATTGGAAGTTCTACCAGCTCTCATTTCTGAAAGAGCCCATTCTGTATTTCCCACTTGAGACACCAGCAGAAAGAATGCAATTCCGTGATGTTGGAGATGTGTGCTGTACTTTGCAGTCATGTGCCAGGCTCTCATAACATCTGCTTTTTTCATGTTTGAAATAACCACGGGATAATTTCCATGTAACATCAATTAGCTACTCGTGTCTTTATGTTTTGTCTCCCCAGTGATATTCCAGCCTCTGGGGAAGCAGTGAGCAAGGGCAGCCGCTCGAGGGTGACCACGCGCTTCCCCAAACTGTCCCGCAGCCACCCGAGGGAGCCCCGGAGCCTGGAACCCCAGAGCGGGGACCTCTGACCCTTCTTCCTAGCTGGGAACACGGGCACCACGTACTTTAAGTTGTTCTGTGATTCCTTCCTAGCCTATATTTATCATTTAAGCTCCTGAAGAGACTACAGCTGCATCAACTTAAATCCTGAAAAGAGACATTCATTACCAAGGGTCATATCCTGATTAACTACTTTGGAAGGCAGTAATCACTTTCTCAAAAGAATACGAGGGCTCTTCACCAGAGCTCAGCAAACTGATGGCATTTTCTTTGTTTTGTAAAGCTGCACTGCACATATTCTCCTTTGTTCCTTTGAGGTCCTTCTTTTACAATGAATTCCTTGTTTGTATTGTGTTGTCTCCCTTTTAACATGTACATTTTTCTGTTCCAGAGAGACGTGGCTATCATGTCAAGACAATTTTTTTTTTCCTTAGAAGAACAGTTATGATTATCACTACTTAATATGTCAGAAGGGTGTCCTGAAAAGAACCTCACTAATTTATTACCTTTTGTAAATAGAAGGACTGGGTTGTTTTGGGGTTTTTTTATTGTAAACCTCTAACATGCAAGTTTTTAAAAAAACTTGACAATGTAGATGATGAGACAAATGTTACAGGTGGAAAAATAGCTTTTGTACATTTCTAGCTAGATATTCTCAATAGCTTTCATTTATGGGAAGTGTTCTTTAAAATCAGAGAATGTAATAATTTTTTAGTAAAATTTCATTCCTGCTGGAAGGCAGGTGCAATATTATTAATTTTTACAAACCACTGCAAGGATACACAAAATTAGCATGGTGCAAAACAGTGCTTTCAAGTTTTGGGTTATATTTTGTTATCAGTTTGTTGCTGATGTTACAGAATAGTCCATCATTAATCTGATTTTGTAAAACCCTTCACATGGTGATACTTAAAAAATTGCCTGTAATGAAAGTGCCTGTTACCCATCACCTCTTATTGAAAAGTAATTTGTAATGCTACTACTGTAAGAGTGACTAAAATATTGACAAGAATTATTACAAGTGATGGAAGTCCCGACATGGATTAACTGGAATCCAGTTCAGTATCCATTAGCTGCACTGCCGTAGGCAGTTAATTATGTTTTAGCTATCTTCTTCTCTTCATTAAGTTTAACCAGTATACATTCAAATTTTCCATTAATTGTATTCTGGTTTTCCTTTGTGTAAGAACATCTTTCTTCTCAGAAGTTTTTTTCGATAACGTTACTTAAATTGATGTATCTTGTCATTTTATTATCTGTCATTATATTAAATTCTCACATCAGTAGGTACTAAAATCTTATATCGTTCACCAGAAAAAAAGAAAAAAAACCAAGCTGATGATTAATAACAGGTTTTTTTACCTCACTGCTTTGCTAAAGTTCTGGCAAACTGGAACTTTGTTCTGCAAACTGTGACCAGTGTGTGTTGTTCAGGCAGGTGAGTGGCCCAGCCATTTCTGTGGCACTCCCTGGGTGAGAAGGAGTTTGTTACACACAGGGAGGAGCATCGGTGCCTGAGTATGAGCCCCAAGGGCTGGATTGCTCCCCCTGAAATAAATATGTAGCTCTCAGATTGCACTGAACAGCAGAACGTGGTGGAGAGGAGTGGAATTCACTCCTCAGGTCAGAAATTTCAGTAGGTGAAATATCACAAAGTAAAATCATGTCACAGAAATGAAACAAGATTTTTCAGTCAGTAAGAGTTCTCAGTCACGAGGCAGATAAACAGCAAAGCCCAAAGGGCAGCCTGGGAACAAGTGGGTTTGTTTTCATTAACAGATGAATTACTGTTGGTGTTTTGTGTAAGTTACAGTGGGACACTTATTTGAGAAGGCAAAGTGAGTAGTTTGTCAGTGAAGTAGCTTCTCCAAACTCTTTAGCCCAATGCACTGCTGCTGGTTTAGTTTGTTGGAAAGAAAAGTAGCTGTAATGATGGTCCCACTTTGAAACAATTCTATTTTTCAGAAGGTGTAGTCTTGGTTAATAGAAACATGGCACACATCTATTAATACTGAATTGCAAGTAAATCTGAAAGAAAACACTGTGTGGAAACTTTTGTGATGCATCTGGCTTATGGAGCTGTGATCATTTTCAGGAAATAATTCACAGATTCAAATACTTCTTATTCAGAAAGTTGCAAATGATAAGAAATCTCATTTAGCGCAGACTGAATTTTTTTGTTAGTTGTTTCAAAGGAATTGTTTGTATCTTAAAATTATTCCATCCCTGATTGTCTTGCTTCTTGTAATTTTTAATGTATGTATGTAGATCACATAAAAATACTGAACTTGTTTACCATGTACAAATTGCTCTTTGTTAACTGTAGCTGAACTGTGTGTCAGCTCCTGAGATTACAGTCTGCAAACAATGTTCACCCGGTGATACAAGATACCAGAATGAGGGCATTACTAATCCATTTAAAAGCTCAGCTCTGGTTTCTCTAAAATCCCAGAAAATAATCAAATGAAAGCTTCTCTTCACAAGGTAGCTTTTCCCACTTTATAGCCATGGTTATTTTGAAGATCAGTGAGGTACCTGTATGACTGCAAGTAGGTGCCCAGTGACAGGAATCCCCAAATTTTTAGCACCTCAAGACGTTCTGACATGCTCTTCGAATCAAATGTATCTGCTGCAAGTCCCACTTCTGATAATTCACCAGAATCAGCAAAGTGTGTTAAGAAGGTTGACCAGCTGGAACTAGGAATGCCAAGGAGTTCTGTTACTCTAATGAAACACCTGTAAGTGTGGCAATTGTTCCATCACTTGAATGATTTGATCAGTTCATCCTGTGTCACCTAATTTCATGCTCATGGTTACAGTTTTTGTACAGCTCCAACTTCCTCTGGCACTGCCTCAAAGCTCTCAAAGCCCTGGATGTGCTCAGTGAGTGGCTGGTTTGACCATTCCTGTTGGTGCTGTAATCCCAGGACACAGGCTGGGCCCTGGAGCTGTTCCTGCAGGCCCTGGGCTGTGGCCTGGCACGGGGCAGTGGGGAGGAATTTGTGCTATCATTTGCATTTCATTCCTGCCTCATCTGTAGATGTATTAGGTCTCCAGGGCTTCTCATCAGCGACTATTCAAAATAAACTGTAAAAACGTGGCACAACTTTTACTGTAATGCTCTTGTCCAGTCACATGGAAAATGAACATTTTCTGAGAAACACAGAGCAGGCAAAGCTCTTCCAGCTTTTGCAGATGTGTCTATCAGTATTCATCACACACTGACTGTGGTTTTTCAGAACCTCATTTATTTAGAGATTCTGTCATTCATTATAGCATTGTGTCGACTTGGCTTTTGCAAATTAAATCAAAGTTCTCAATAATAATAATAATAATAAATTTCCAAGGTTTATTTGAGGCAGGATATTGGCGTAGTTATAAAGGCTTAAATTGATATGTCCATTAAGTCACATATTCTTAGGAAGATAATAATTTCAAAGCCAGTCTTTTTTATGGAATATATTGTTGATGTGATAGTTGCAATCAAATTATAATACCTTGCAGAAGGTACTGCAAGTCATAAACCATCGAGATTGGATTAATACAAGTATTTAGAGAAAGAACACAATGGTATTAAAGATTATTGGCTCAAAATTGTGACCCATTGCTAAGGTGCTTTTCATTTTTTTGTTACAAAGTTATGTTTGATTGTATAGAACAATATCTGCATGGTAGCTGTCAAATTAATTAATAAGAACCTACTAACAAATGGGGTTGACTGACTCAGAGCAGCCAGCTAATAATAAATGAGACTCAGTGAACCCCCGGTGAACTAATGATGCTTCTGTCAGGATGTATTAATGGTTTAAGAATATGATATTTTGTTACCAGAATCAGTTATTGGTGCTCTCACATATGGATGTCATTGTTTTTCCCCCAGAGAGTGCAGGGATCTCAGTGCTGCTCTCAGTTCCACTCTGCTTCAAAGGCTCAACCCCACCCCCCCAAAACTCCAAAACATTTTTCATGCTATGCCTTGGAATTCTGAGCACAGATAATGTACCCCTGTGGATAGAAATACAGTTACCTGCTTGAATTACAGTGAGAAACCTGTGGAAAGAAAGAAAAGGACTTCTTGACCAAACTGTCAAAAAATTGCCAATTTGCTCTATGCCCTTGCAAATCTTGGGAGCAGCACTGGGCTCTTCCAGCTGGAACTTTAGGATATATGGAAAGAAGCTTTTTAACATGAGAATACAATTTTCTCCTTGGAAACAATAATAATACTTTCTGTATTGGATCTTGAGTCACTTCTAGAGAAGTGATTTACCAGCTCAAGGAAGTAAAGAATTTCTCTCCTTCGCTTTCTGTAGGTGAGGGTGTTTGAGTCAGCACCCTGCTCCACATGGAATATTCACTTGATGATGATTTTGTCATTTCAGTCGTTTCTTAGCATTTTGTATGCAAAGAAACACTTCACTGTATGAAATTATCTATATGAAATATAGAATGTGTTTAAAAATACCAGTTAACCTGCTTCGTGTTTCACATATTGAATGGAGGATAAAACACTTGTTCTACACAGTGGTCTGACACTGTACATTGGTTTTATTTCTTATTCTGCACTAACTGTGCTTTTATGGTCCAGTTATAGAGAACTTAGATTATTTATAAAATTTCTTTAGCAAAAATAATCAGAACATACTTCTAAATAATAATAATAATGGCTTAGTTTTTGGTTCATAATGGCATGAATTTATACTGGACAACAACACTGAAATGTTTAGAGAGGAATGAATGTTCCAGATTTACAAAATTTCTGCAAATATCTTTACTTAAAAAAAACCCCAACATTGTTTTTTATTGCATCAAAACAAGTTTATTGCACTTCCACATAGGGGAATCAGTTCCTTTAACAAGATTTCAGAAATTATCTCCATGCCATGGCAGCAGTGAAACTGTGGTAAGTGGTTTTCTTATTAATCATTTAAGACACTAAAAACTATCAAACTGTAGGTGTGGTTGAAAATAGAGTTCTGAAAGGCTGTGCTTTCTTTCTTACTTCTTACTGAGATAAATAAGTGTCTTGTGTGTGGGACCAGACCTGTTGGCCACTGAAGAAGCTGGATTTCCCTTTTCACCTGGGGAGGGAATGTTTTCTGTTTTTCCTGTTAAAGTGTCAAAAATATAGTATTAATTCTTAAACATATATATGTACAGTATTCACATAAGTATTAATAAACTGTAATATTATTTTAACTTGTTATGCTAATGTTTACATTATAGAATTTTTAAGCAAATGTGTATATATAAAATTTTCTAAATACTTTCTTGGTTTTGTTTTGTTTTGTTTTTCTTTTTTATTAAATATCCTGTGGTAATTTTATTGTAATCTGGTTACAATATGCTACTTTACCAAGAAGAAAATAAATAATAACATCATTTCTTGTTTGAAGTAGAGTTTGTTTACACCTTATTTGTTCTATTCTTCTGTTTTGTATTTGCTTCTTTGATTTATGTTCATTTTTTCCAATGGGTTTCTATATCTCAAATAGTCATATTGCATTTGGGGAGTTGTAGTGGCTTGGCATTTCTACATGGGCCTACAGAGTTTAAAGGTTTTCTTTTCAGAAAAGACCTGTGCAGGATTAACTAATTTTTCCCCCCACCCCCCAGAAATTTTAAGGAAATAAGGAAAATACGTTGTACAACGATTTGCCAGAAGAGCAAGCAAAGGTATTTTTAAGATAATGTTTTAAGTAAGATTTCTGCTACTGCCCTTCAGTCTTTTGGAATGACCTTTTAAGTATTGTGAGTGAAATTACTGTATTGCCCAAATTAAAACAGATACCTGACATTTTGAGATATTGCAAGTCATGCTTGATTTTGTTCTAGAAAATCAACATGCAAACTGTGGCATGTGTGTGTTTGTCACGCTTATTTTCTGAATTTTCCTTGCTGTTTTTCACCCTGCATTGTAACAGGAGGCTTTTACTACGTGAGGTTTCTAAGTACCATGCTGATAACTTTATTTCCAATTCAACAATATCCATGCCATTTTCAACATTGCTTAATTCCCTAATATTTTAAAGTTGTTCAGCAAGTGCATGTACCTTTTCTGGCACACTGCATTTGTCTTTTTATTTGAAAAGCTGATCTTATATCCTTACTCATATGCAGCTTGGAATTGTTTCATTCGTGTAGGTCCCTCATTAATTGCACCTTTAGCTCTTTCTGCTGAGCCAGCTGTTGTGCTCTGGGTGAGCCTCTGCCCTCCTTGTTCCAAATGCCAGGCCTGCAGTGCCCTGTGCTTGGCCACTCTGTGTGCAGCATCAGACACAATTTGTGCCCTTGGACATTTGCTCTTTACACCTCCTTGGTTGGGGCTTGTGATATTTTTGGAGTCTCTGTTGGATCACCAAGACCTGCCCTTCCCCAGTTTTCTAGAATTCCTGTGTCTGGCAGATTCCTCCTTGCATGGTGCTACAGCTCTGACTTAAACTACTTCATCTTCCTATTAAGAATATTTTCATAGTTATTTTTATTCCTAGTGCTACATGTTGTTCAGAAACAGCTGAGGTACATAAAGGGTTTACTTTACTCAGCGTGAATTCTATGTCATCAACTTTGCATGACATAACGATTCCAACCAACATCTGCCAGAGCTGTCAAATACAAGGCCTTTCTTTGGCAATTATTGCTATCTTAAAATAGATTTCACACTCACACTGTGAAAAATATTTACAGGTTAAGCAAATGTAGCAAGAAAAGATTTAATCAGGTTAATAATAATTTTTAAGTACCTAATTTTTATAATTATTTTACTTTTTCTTCACTTTATTCCCTGTTTTTTTATCAAGTGCTAATTCATTCATGAATTATGTCATTTGCATATGTCTCAATTTCAGTGACAGTTCCTACTTCTCAGTTTCTAGTAGGAAGTTAAATTCTGGTCCTTACCATTCCCAATTTTATGTAGCATCATCGAATTGTTTAGTGAGGGCCCAGAACTGGACACAGGACTTGAGGTGTGACCTCACCAGTGCCGAGGACACGGGGACTGTCACTGCCCTGGGCCTGCTGGCCAGGCTGTTCCTAGGAAAATTCTCAGCAGTGGAGATCCCCAGCTGCCTTCCAAAGTGGGAATGTGGGCTTACAGAGAAGTAGGAAATGAAATATCATTTAATATATTTAAGTAACATTTTGGCTAAGTCAAAGCAGACAACACCTTGGCCATCTGTCATTAGAAATACTTATCTTGTCTCCATTGATGTAGATAAGCAAGTCTATTTCTTAATTGCCAGAGTAAATTAAAAAAAAGAATGTCCTTTAGACAGTGCTGTTTGAGCTGCT